GTATTCGAGACATGTGCTATATCTTGCTTAGTGTATTTCCAAAATTTAAAACATATTAGAAAACCAGATTTTCATTCTACGTTATCCAAGGCATCGCCAGCAGCTAACACCAGGTGCTAGGGAGCTTTTTGTGCTCATCTAGTTCAATGAAAATGCGTTTTAGAATTTAATTTATTTGAGGATTAATTTTAAACAATCTAAACCATAATGATGAGGTTCACAAACTCGATGGTCCGTATAAACGCCGGCTGAGACGTGTGTAGAGTCTCTTAGTCAGGGAGCGCGGTGCTTTATAATTAGGTAGCGTGGCGTGCACAAGCGGAGCGACTGTGACAGCGAGTAATAGAGTCTAATCAATTACTATACTAATATTTGAATACCTGCTATCGGAATCAATCTGCATAATAATCTGTTTGCTGTTTTCTTACTGAACCGGTTTTTTTTTATTACTTAGATGGGTTGGACGAGCTCACAGCCCACCTGGTGTTAAGTGGTTACCGGAGCCCATAGACATCTACGACGTAAATGCGCCACCCACCTTGAGATATAAGTTAAGCTAAGATCTCAGTATAGATACAACGGCTCCCCTACCCTTCAAACCGAAACGCATTACTGCTTCACGGCAGAAATAGGCTGGGTGATGGTACCTACCCGCGCGGACTCACAAGATGTCCTACCACCAGTAAAAACTACCACCGTCTGTCTTACTAATAAATATCGTTCTTCTTCAAGGAAGTTGAAATTAATTCCATCGGCCTTAAGCTGAAGCAAACAAGAACCCGTATATCTCTGTCAATTCCCCATATTGGGATCAGGCATTTATGAAATAAAATTGAAGCTAATCTTTCATACGCCATTGCTCATATTGGCCGCTAATGAAAGTATGGGTAATCGTGTGGATTTATGTAACACTCACATTAGCTACTGTATCACCAAGTTAATTCGTAACTGGCACGGGATAGCAAGCGACTGGCCAATGTTCATGAGTGACGATAGTATTAGGGTTGCCTGCCTGTGATTAAAATGAAAAACTAACAATGAAGGTGCGATAGTAAAACTTGCATTTCAAAACATGCTCTTAATTCTACATTCATTTTTAAAAGCCGCAATCTTCATTTTTTTTAAATTAAAACATTACATCGTCTCAAACTTTTTCGTCTGTGTGTTGCATGTCGCGTGAGGGTTGGCCGCGGAGTAGGGATAAAGTGCAAGGCGCTCGTCAGAGCAGCCAAAGCCAATATGGCGGCGCCTGTAATTCGCAGCAGCTGACCGTGTAGTGTATAGACTACTGCTCATTTGTGCCAGTGCTCCGCGCAATTTTGTTTTATTTTTGTCAGTGTTTAATTTAAATGTTGTCAGAGTTAAAAATATCTATAATGTGAAAAAAAGTTTCACTTTTACCGTTGTCTCATAAAACCACCCAATCCTTTTTTTTATATGCTAGTTATAATTTTCTAATAATAAAATGGAAATAGTATTTTAATATGCAACCAATAAACTGATCCGCACTTCGTCATTTATTAGCTAACTAGAGTAATCAATAAACAGCGACATCGCCTTACATCTAATACGCTCACCGCTACCGCTTATCACTCGACGATAGCACAGGGTGCGTTCACCTCAGAAGAGTGTCTCGTCTCCATATAAGCAGACGCCCACTTACCATCACGTATCATATTAGCTAACCATATACCGAGCTTTTGTTTTCAATTGAAGATTGGAGAAATCGATTTTCTATAAAGCGAAATATATGCACATGGGTAAGCGCTATCACGCGTGTTTCATGTCACATATTTTGAAATTATTTTGTTGCTTTAGCTCATCTACTTGTTATATTCGGTCTGGTTTTAACTCACCGTGAGAAAATGAAACATTTTCAATTATAATGGATTGACTGTCCCTTCAAAATAGAAAGCGTAACGGTAGGAATAAGCAAAATGACGAACTCTAGGGCTTATTTTAAGATATTATACTTCCTGAGGTGCCTGATGTTACGTGACCACTAATTACGCAAAATTATAAATTCAAGTTGGATAGAGGCATGCAGGTTATCAGAACTTTGAGCCTTGCTAAGAACATGTAGGATGTCATGTTCTCGTCTACAGAAAAAAAATTGGCCTTAATGTGTTCATTAGACCCCATGCCTAGAGGTAGGTATCTAAATGACGTTATTCAAGTTATGATGTAATTTGCTGGTCTATGCGTCAGCAGAGAGCCCCTTTGCTGGTCCTTAATGTCTGTAATGGCTATCAAATTTCTGGTACGAATTTGGCCATATTTCTCTTGCATTAGTTTCGAGCTTTTGACTATGCTTTGAGGGCGGAGACGGAGATAGGCGGATTGTATTAAAGCCGAAGTGACTGAAACCTTACGTAGCTCAACAACTCGCGCTCAATAAGACCGAACTTACTTGAAGGGACTACATGACGCGTTTAATGCAAAGCGCATCTTTGCTCGTTAGCCAGAATTCCGGAACACACTGTCTCAAGCATGATGGGCCACAGCCAAACGCCTTCCACGTTGGCTCTGACATTTGTCCATAAGCAGCATTCACTACTAAGTACCTCGTTTGCCTCCAACCCTCATAAACATAATCGATTTCTAGATAGTTCTATATAAATATGTATGCACAAGATCTCAGCCAGATTCAGTTGCCTTAGTGCATTGACATTGCATTTTTACTAGTGGTAGGATCTCTTGTGAGTCCGCGCGGGTAGGTACCACCGCCCTGCCTATTTCTGCCGTGAAGCAGTAATGCGTTACGGTCCGAAGGGTAGGGCAGCCGTTGTAACTACACTGAGACCTTAGAACTGATATCTCAAGGTGGGTGGCGCATTTACGTCGTAGATGTCAATGGGCTCCAGTAACCACTTAGCACCAGGTGGGCTGTGAGCTCTACCACCAATCTAAGCAATAAAAAAAAACGAGTCCTGCAATATACCCATACATGTAGAAACTTGGACTTGTGTCTTACACATGAAGTGGAAGGTGTTGATCGGAGCATTAGGGAATAGTGACGTATGGACTTTTTAAGCCACATCACGCAGTCGAAGTTATTAAATTCTGCGTAATTCTTTGTATATATATTCCTGTGATTATTCTGATGTAATCGGCCATCGACCTCATTTACGGCGTAATATTTATAAAGTGAGATGGCTACTTGACATCAGATTGGCCAAGTTCTCAATTGACATAAAGAGGTCTTCCAAGCCAATTGAGTGTTAACGATTTTGAAGTATCCGCAAATCAGTACTCGAGACAGGTTCAATTATGGATTCTCGAGTGTGAAGAAAACTGCGCTATTTTTAGGATTACCATAAATAAGGTCTAGACTAAAAAAAAACCTTTTAATTCCACTCAATTATAGGTTTGTTTGTATTACAACAAAACAACAGAAGTGTGACGGATCTTAAGGGAAAATACTTACTAATGATGAATACGACATTTTCTTCCGTATGATCGGGTATTTAGTACATTTACAATATGAAAATTTAGCAAAATTAGAAAGCTAAAACCGACTTCCTTCACATAAGTTTTTGACAAGTTGTTTTTAAGACCGTATTGTCAGACTAAGATCTCAAAAGCTACGTGTTTTTTTTTTTTATTGCCTTTGAGGCAGACGAGCATACGGCCCACCTGATGGTGAGTGGTTACCGTCGCCCATGGACTTCAGCAATGCCAAGGGCAGAGCCAAGCCGCTGCCTACCGCAAAACGTTCCATGACAAGAAGTATAAAGTTGTATAAATTTTTGGAAAATTTGCTGTGAATTAGCTACTTGTGTATTTAATTTATTTGGTTCTATATTAGCTACAGCTTTATTAAAAGCAAATGCTAGTCCAAATGTCTGAGTCGAAACCTGTGTATATGCTCTTACTGCTAAGCCATAAGAAAAAATACATTTTATGCGATGTCATAATAAATTGAGAAAAGTAAAATATAAAGAAAATATATAATCCATCCAAGATCTGTGTGTGGTATGGTCTTAAAATGGATAATATAGGACATACTCGGAAACTTTTAGTGCCACCTAGGGTTCTTATAGCCCTTCAAACTATAGGCCTAGTGGGTGTAATGCTGATGACCTCCCACATCAAAGGATGAGCTAGAATGACTTGTAGCGAAGCAAGTAATTGAGGAGATACGTGATCATACAAAACCTTAGAAAGTCGATCTCTCCAAACGGTATTTCCAAATAGATAATTCTACCAAAAAAAAAAAAACATCAAGATAACAGAACGTAAGAAACTTTCAACGAAAATTGTTTTGGAGTAGATAGATATGTTAAGTAACTTTCTAGATATGGGATATTTTCAAAACCGTTTAGGCTTAAGTGACCCAAACAATTAGGGCCAGTGTAGTCTGATATAGGAACGAAGTTCCTTATTATAAAAATATAAATTTTAAGTTNAATTCTACCAAAAAAAAAAAAACATCAAGATAACAGAACGTAAGAAACTTTCAACGAAAATTGTTTTGGAGTAGATAGATATGTTAAGTAACTTTCTAGATATGGGATATTTTCAAAACCGTTTAGGCTTAAGTGACCCAAACAATTAGGGCCAGTGTAGTCTGATATAGGAACGAAGTTCCTTATTATAAAAATATAAATTTTAAGTTCTATTCGAGGTATAAGGTAAATAATTATTTGGATATACATCGTTTATTGTGATTCTTTATTGATAAAAAATATATAAGTTATTTTTTGTACGTTATTACAATTAATTAAGGTTAAAGACGTAAAGCGTATTTTGTTAGTTTTTTTAAATTATTATTTAATTTTCATTTTTGAGATGAATTTCAACTTTTTCATTTTTTTTTTTTTATATTGAATTGTCATCGGTCCTTAATAAGTATACCAAATATCGAGTTAATCCGACGTTTTGAAGGGGGTCAAAATCATGTTTAAAGATTCCGTTACAAACATACATACCTACGTCGGAAGCTAATAAAAGCGTATTAAAAATGAATTCAATTATAGTAATATTTTCTTCTTTTTCAGTGCTGGCCACGACAGCAGCCTTCCAGCAGCAGTACTTCAGGGTGGTTCCTCGAAGCCTGCGAGTTCAGGAGGGCTCAGAGGCGGTCCTCGAGTGCGCTGTAGCCAATCTAGCAGGCCAGGTGCAGTGGGCCAAAGATGGATTTGCACTTGGTATGTTTTATTTTTATTTTTATTGCTTAGATGGATGGACCAGCTCACAGCGCACCTGGTGTTAAGTGGTTACTGGAGCCTATAGACATCTACAACAAGAATGCGTTACCCACCGCGAGATATAAGTTTTAAGGTCTCAAGTATAGTTACAACGGGTGCCCCGCCCTTCAAACCGAAACGTATTACTGCTTCACGGCAGAAATAGGCAGGGTGGTGGTACCTTACCCGTGCGGACTCACAAGAGGTGCTACCACCAGTAATTACGCAAATTATAATTTTGCGGCTTTGATTTTTATTACACGATAGCCAAGATACCGCACTACAATATATCACCGTATATTTCTATCGCGATGCAGTGATACCTTTTTAAGGGGTAAGTCAAGTGTTATACGCAATCGAGACTTAAATTTCACGTCTCAAAGCTCCAGAAGCTTTTTAATATTAATGTCTTCTTTATCTTTTTTCTTGCGTTTTCCCGGTCTAGTCTTAGGGTCTGCTTTTCTAGTTAAGCTCCTCCACTTTGCCCGGTATTCGGTATACTGTGAGGGGACCTCTATTCCAAGTGGCAAAGTGAACCGTTTCTACCGTGAAGCAGTAATGCGTTTCGGTTTGAAGGGTGGGGCAGCCGTTGTAAAATACTTGAGACCTTAGAACTTGTCTCGGGGTGGGTGGCGCATTTACGTTATGGGTGTCTATGGGCCCCAGTAACCACTTAACACCTAGTGGGCTGTGAGCTCGTCCACCCATCAAAGCAATAAAAAAAAGTTTCCATTTGGGGACATACTTCTTTAGCCGTGCCTACACTTGACACTAACGCCTATGCTATAAACAAAATTATGGATTCAATCTTTTCGAAAATAATTCTGTACCTTATATGAATTGTGAGTTGTTTTGCTATAGCATCGGCAATTTAATTGGCTTCGCTGATAGCATTCCTGGCGGTTTCAAGACGAGCCTGTCTGTAAAAACGTGGACTAATAAAAAATAAACGGCAGGAGATGTAGGACGACAGTCATGATTCATTGTTTTCGATCGTGGAAAGCTAATGGATTGAGTCTTTGTGAGAAAATCCATTGATTGTCTTTCTTTGTGGATTAAGGTTAGGTATTTGGTCTATGTCTATACAAGAAGTGATTACTTATCATATTCAACCATGCCAACCCTAAAGAGCGTGGATTTTATTTATTTGTTGCTATACTTGAGACCTTAGTCATGTCATAACTTATATCTCAAGGTGGGTGGCGCATTTACGTTGTAGATGTCTATGGGCTCGAGTAACTACTTAAGCAATAAAAAAAAATTACTTAGTGAAAATGGCTACAAGCGCTCGGCCCGTCTGGTGGTAGGTAACATATGTCCATTAATATGACAAACGTGAATGCCACCTCAGGATCTGAGGTCGAAAATANTTAGACCTTAGTCATGTCATAACTTATATCTCAAGGTGGGTGGCGCATTTACGTTGTAGATGTCTATGGGCTCGAGTAACTACTTAAGCAATAAAAAAAAATTACTTAGTGAAAATGGCTACAAGCGCTCGGCCCGTCTGGTGGTAGGTAACATATGTCCATTAATATGACAAACGTGAATGCCACCTCAGGATCTGAGGTCGAAAATATCTTAATCGTACGTTGTCCTGCTAATCATAGCAATCGAACCAGCATAGATGACTGCTTCTTGGCAAAATTAGGTCAGATGGTGATGATATCTACCTGTGCAGGCTCACAATATGCTCTACCACCAGTAACTAAGCAAATTTCGTATCTTGCAGGTACCTATATTTCTTTTTTTTTTATTGCCCTTGTAGGCAGACGAGCATACGGGCCACCTGATGGTGAGTGGTTACCGTCGCCCATGGACTTCAGCAATGCCAAAGGGCAGAGACAAGCTGCTGCCTACCGTTCTAGAAAAGTTTTACCAGATGCCATGGTACTTGGCTGTACCCCTGGCATTGCTCACATAGACGAGTGACGGTAACCACTTACCACTAACCTTATGCTCGTCTGCCTATAAAGGCAATAAATAAAATCCCAAAAGGACATTAAATTAGTGCCCTAAATAAAATTCGTTAAACTAATGCAAAAGTTCATCTTGCATTGCGTATTGCGTGCACAACTCAAGCTATGGTTGTTTTGTGTTATCGTGATATGAGCTTAAATCATTACTACTTGTAAATGACCCATATCACAGTATCACACAAACCAATGGCAGGTTTGCGGGATTTCAACGCTTCGGTAGAGCCTTGTGAATTCTAAGGCTTGGTCCAAATTGTAAGATAGTGGAGTCGAAATTTTAAATGGACTACATTCAGTGTGCTTAGTGCGAGTTTATTAACGTTCTCGATAGCGTAAAAGTTAACTCAAATTTGTATGGAGTTGGAGTCTTTATGGCTAGGGGCGCTGTTCCAACTGCGTACAAATTGGAGTTAACTATTACGCTATCGACAATGTTAAAAAGCTCGCACTAAGCACACAGCTCGTTTGTTATGCTTGCAGAGTAATGCGTTTCGGTTTGAAGGGTGGGGCAGCCGTTGTAACTCTACTAAGATCTTAGAACTTATCTCAAGGTGGGTGGCGTATTTACGTTGTAGATGTCTACGGGCTCCAGTAACCACTTAACACCAGGTGGGCTGTGAGCTGGTCCACCCAACAAAGCAATAAAAAAAAAGTTTTCATTACCTCGTCTATCTTCACGAAATTTTGTATACACGTTGTCAGGCGTATGGAAAAGTACTTAAAGTACTTTAATCAATAAAATGTAGTATTGCGCAATTGTGATCTTTTTTATCAATATCAACGCCAGTAAAGTCGCGGATACAAATTTAGTATTTTTATTTTTAAGCTATTGCATAGCTTTTATCGCGGGCCTTGAGCGCGGCGACCGAATCATGAAATTCCGTAACGAAAAAAACCTTCCACCCCTCACTCCGCCTACCATGTATCTCGCGTTCAACCCATTCACACGTTGCGCTTGTGTAGTGTTTGTGAATAAGCGCGTGGCGTGACGTCACACTGCATGCGCATCGTGAAAAGTCTGTCCATCTCTCTCTCGCGCGGTCTAGCTTATGAGTGTGAAGGGGACAGTTAAGGTTTTGCTTTTATTAATGTTTAATATAGCGTGGTCTTGTTTTATTATTGTTTTAACATTAAATTATCACTGTCTAATTATAATTGCTAAATTGCTAATTGATAAAAAATGCTATGCAATAGCTTTACCGCGGCAGTTTCCGAGTGCCACACGTTTTTTATTTGCGTGTCTTAGTTACGTGTCGAGATGAGGAGTTGCTTAACATAAAAGATTTTAAAGAACATCTCCATCACACGACTCTGCTGACCAGTACTTCTCTGGACGTGGTTAACAGAAATCAAATTTATTCGCCTATGTTTACATATGACGCAATGCATTATTTATCGAGTAGAGCTTACCATTAGCCTAGCCATAGATGCTGGCTCCACCCTCTATTTAGCCGTGCCACATTTCTTATGAAAATGATCGTTACAAAAAAAAAATATGGCAATAATTACGCTCGTAATAGTATTAGCAAAATGATTCAATTTTACCGAATAAATGAAAGAAATGATAGGCAACTTGTGAACAATATACTTTTAATTCGCTGCATCTCAGAACTTGCGCCCGCTAGTAATTAGCCTGGCTGTGTCTAGTGTCACCTCGGGTACGCCGATTGCTCTGTGCATTTCAGTCTGTCCCTTTCAATCTACTGTAGTGTCCCGCGCACGTCGCTTCACATAAACGGCTTATATACACTAGGCTGAAGCCGGATTACCATTGATTGGGAGAGCTTAGGTTTCAGTCTATTGACCTGTCTCGTGAGACAAGCGTACCGTGTGACTCTCAGTTTGTTGGAGCGTAGAACCGAATGATGGGGGGTGGATGAGAGCTCGGAAGCGAGTGTCATGAGACCACGTACAGACAAGCGTACTGTGTGACGCGCGGTGTGCTGGAGCACAGAGCTGAATGGTAGCGGGTGGATGAGAGCTCAGGAGCGAGTGTCGTGAGTCCACGTACAGACAAGCGCAGTGTGTGACGCGCGGTGTGCTGGAGCACAGAGCTGAATTGTAGCGGGTGGATGAGAGCTCAGGAGCGAGTGTCGTAAGACCACGTACAGACAAGCACAGTGTGTGACGTGCGGTGTGCTGGGGCACAAAGCTGAATGGTAGCGGGTGGATGAGAGCTGAGGAGCGAGTGTCGTGAGACCACGTACAGACAAGCGCAGTGTGTGACGCGCGGTGTGCTGGAGCACAGAGCTGAATGGTAGCGGGTGGATGAGAGCTCAGGAGCGAGTGTCGTGAGACCACGTACAGACAAGCGCAGTGTGTGACGCGCGGTGTGCTGGAGCACAGAGCTGAATGGTAGCGGGTGGATGAGAGCTCAGGAGCGAGTGTTGTGAGACCACGTACAGGCAAGCGTAGTGTGTGACGCGCGGTGTGCCGAAGCCTCATAAGATCAGATCTTATCACTCAAACGTTAATAATCAGACATTCCAATGGATTAAATCAAAAATAAAAATAAAAAAACGTTATGCAAAACTGATAATCAATTACGCCGCGTGAAATAAAACTTGGATTTTTACGATTACGGATTCAATAATTTCGTATCGTTTCAATCGTTCGGTCACAGTGTGAATGAGGCACCGTATAATTGGTTTCTGACACGACTCGAGTGTTGGAGTGGTTGACGGCGGGACTACAGGGCCTAACTCGTTCTGGTCACGCGATGACCAGAAACTGTTTTATCAAATACATTGGCTATTGTCTAATAATCAAGATCATACTTTTATTTGTACATGTGCTTCATGAGGATGTTAAGGCCACTGAGTTTCTCGCCGGATCTTCTCAGTGGGTCGCGTTTCCGATCCGGTGGTAGATTCTGCGAAGCACTGCTCTTGCTAGGGTTAGTGTTAGCAACGTTGTCAGATTTGAGCTCCATGAGCTCACCTACTCGCTCTGTGAATCTAGTATAATCCCTCGAGGTTACCAGAATAGGTAGGAATAAAGAAAATTATGTCAGAAGGTCAACTTGAGCTATTGAGTTTCTCGCCCGATCTTATAAGTGGGTCGTGCTTCCGATCCGTTGGTAGATTCGACGAAGCACTGCTCTTGCTAGGGCCAGTGTTAGCAACGTCGTCAGGTTAGAGCCCCGTGAGGTCACCTACTCGCTCTGTGAATCTAGCATAACCCCTCGAGGTTACTAGAATAGGAAGGTATAAAATGCCAAAAGGTCAATTTAAGCTACTGAGTTTCTCGCTCGATCTTATAAGTGAATCGCGATTCTGATTCGGCGGTAGATTCAGCGAAGCACTGCTCTTGCTAGGGTCATTGCTAGTACTTCTCACGGGAAAGCATATGATTTTGCAATGTTTTTTTTTTTATTGCTTATGTGGGTGAACGAGCTCACAGCCCACCTGGTGTTAAGTGGTTACTGGAGCCCATAGACATCCACAACGTAAATGCGCCACCCACCTTGAGATATAAGTTCTAAGGTCTCAAGTATAGTTACAACGGCTGCCCCACCCTTTAAACCGAAACGCATTACTGCTTCACGGCAGAAATAGGCAGGGCGGTGGTACCCACCCGCGCGGACTCGCAAGAGGTCCTACCACCAGTAATTACGCAAAATATAATTTTGCGGGTTTCATTTTTATTACATGATGTTATTCCTTCACCGTGGAAGTCTATCGTGAACATTTGTTGAGTACGTATTTCATTAGAAAAATTGGTACCCGCCTGAGATTCGAATGCCGGTGCATCGCTCAACACGAATACATCGGACGTGTTATCCGTTAGGCCACGACGACTTCAAAATGTGGGTCCACCTTGAGAAACTACATCCGAGCTCCGATTATTTTGGTGTATTTATTTATTTATATCTTCGTGATAGGAATACGCATTTAGGTGATACATAAGATATAGCAAATCTTAACAACAACAAAAACTGAATTTTCTTTTACCAATTACAATAAAATATTATTCATTTCATTAACTTAACAAGTACCGCTTGGATCTTAATAGAATTCAAATGGGACCACACAAGACGACACAGCTTTTAAAAAGTGTCATTAAAATCGATTCGCTAGAAAAAGTTTTGAAAAAAACAATAAAGGCGAATTGATAAACTCCTATTTTTTTAATGTTGGTTACCTACACACACATACACACACCTGCTCACAAATACTGATGCCTTGAACTCAGAACCAGCGATATCCGACAGACTATTATTACCTATCTTATTCATTAATTAGATGGGTGGACGAGCTCACGGCCCACTTTATATTAAGTAGTTACCGGAGCCTATAGACATCTACAACGTAAATGCCGCAACACACTTTGAGATATGAGTTCTAATACCTCAGTATAGTAGAACGGCTGCCCCACTCTTCGAAGCAAAACGCATTATTCCTTCATGGCAGAAAATAAACAGGAGCTTGGAGAATTTTAATGAGGCTTTTTGAAAACCCGCTGAGTTTTTTTCGCTGGTTCTTCTCAGGACTGTGGCTCTTTTTGGAACCGGTGGTAGAGTTAACATTTTTATTTTTATTTTGACATTCAACAAGTGTGTTATGCTGACATCTAAGTTGAAATAAATGATTTTGAATTTGAATTTGAATTGAATTTGTTCCCAGGTTTCTCATCAGTGATCCCAGGGTACCCGAGGTACACGATGTTCGGTGATCGTCGGAACGGCGTCTACAACCTGAGGATCGTCAATGTCACATTGGAAGACGACGCGGAATACCAGTGCCAAGTCGGGCCCGCTCAGATGCATAAAGTCATAAGAGCGAACGCTTCGATCACCGTTATCTGTAAGTAGCTAGAGTTTAATTTTGATTCTTTAATTTCGTTTGTATTTAATAAATCATATATTGATAAACTAGTGGAACCGACAGACGTTGTCGTGTGAATGCATATCGACGCTTGAAAGGCAAACGTGACTAAGCGACAATGCGTGAACTTTACAGTAGACTAATTTAAAGTTGAAATATCTGAACACAAAATTTATTTTAACGAATCTAGCTGTAGTAGAATCTAGCTAGTAGCTGTAGGATTGAAATGATTTTAATAGACCTAGAAATATATATTTTTTGCGCATCGAATATGGTTATTGCCTATCATTTATGTACAAAGCAGTTATTGTCGCTTAGTCACTTTTGCCTTTCAAGCGTCGATATACAAAAATTCATTCGTGTCGATCCAGCCGTTTAGTTGCAGAATAGATAAATAACCTAGATACTGTCTAAATCAGACAGTACAGCGCCATCTGCCGGGCTGATTTGTGAATCTAAACCATCCAGGGTGCCACCCAAACGCATACAAAAAAAATCATACAAATCGGTCCAGCCATTTAGGTGGAGATCAGTGACAAACACACGCACAGAAGAAATATATATATAAATATATATATACCTCTATACGATTTATCTTAAAAGAGGTTAAATATGTTATAAAGATGACATAAATGGAATTTTGAATATTAAAACATCAGAAGAAGGAACATTAGAAATATATAAGCAATTTGAGATTTTGAAATATAAAAAAACATACAAAACTGGTGAAGCAATAGTTTTAAATGATGTTTCTCTTTAAAGAGCAACTCAATTTGTGCTATAGTTTTACTAAGCTAAACTGTATTTTGGTTTAAATAAAATAATACTTTATATAAAGATTAAAGAGCGGACGGTTAGCGTGGTATGGACATGTGATGCGTAGAGAGAAGATGCATGTGACTAGGAGATGTATAGAAATGGTGGTGCAAGGTAGAGGGGGAAGAGGTAGACCTAAAAAGACATGGATGGAGTGTGTGAATGACGATATGAGAGAGAGAGGAATGAGTATTGAAATGACGGCTGATAGAAGAGAATGGAAGAGAAAAATTCGCTGTGCCGACCCCACATAGTAGGATAAGGTGAAGAAGAAGAAGAAGAAGAATTTTGTTTGTGTTGCACAATAAATATAAATAAATAAATATTTACTAACAATCACGCCACGTTAACTGGTCCCGTGATAAGTTCGTAAAGAACTTGTGTTAGAGGTACCAGATAACGGAAATTAATGTAAGATTTTTATTAAACACATACATATAGATATTTAATATACATCCATAACCCTGGAAAAGCCATTGTTTTTTATATTTATCTTACAAATAACTTCTCTTGGCGGGCTATAGGGTTATAGCGAGCTTACTTACGAGATCAAGCCTTTTGCAAACGCGGGATTAAACAAGAGGAGTTGCTATTCGAATTAAATAATTGATCTACAAATTATAAGTCTCGTGATTGAAACTACACGAAGTTATAAAAACTACGGCGACTCAACATAGAAGCTTTTTTTGGAAAACTTATCTAAAGTTTTATTCCTGAGCTTGAGATAGTACAGGCTTGAGTTTTCGCACGAGGTTAGGATATGACGTTCGGACTACCAGTTTCAAAAGGGACGAATCGTATCTCGTTATTTCTTGAATGAGAATCCGGGTTACTTGGAGTTAGTTCTTCTTTTTAATAACCGACATCGCGAATACAGTTTGCGTGGGCGAAGACTATTAATACGATTATAATTCGCATTTGAAAACAGAGCACATTCAACAAAAAAACTATATGAAAAATTCTAATTTGAAAACAATATTATTATTTAAATTAATTGATAATAAAAAAATCCGACAGAACTTTTAAGGTTTTTTTTAAACCTATGTTAATAGCCTTGAGAGGCTATATTAGCTTCGCCCTAACCGTGTAGGTGAGCTCACGGGGCTCAAACCGGAGTGTTGCTAACACTGGCCCTGCCACAAGGGTAGTGCTTCGCAGAATCTACCACCGGATCGGAAACGCGACCCACTGAGAAGATCCGGCGAGAAACTCAGTGGGCTAATTTTAAGAAAATTCATTGTTTGCTTTAGCTTTTCGTTTTAACAAAACTAGATGATGACCGAGCTTTGCTTGTTTTTTTTTTTGATAACGCCATCTTGTTGTGTCTTTAAAGCGGTTAGTTGCCCTCAATTAAGAAAAATAGTATTATTATTCGCCGATAGATGTCGGGAAGAGTTGATTATTGAAAACACGAATAAAAGAACATTTTCTGAAAATAAATCGTAGCTAGATCGATTTATCGCCCCCGAAATCGCCTGTATACTAAATTTTATGAAAATGGTGGGAGCCGTTTCCGAGATTCAGATTATATCTATTATTAGAGGCGACTCCCTCTTAAGTCAAAGTCGATGGGCGGAGCCATTGACGACGAGCACTCACGTGGACTCGTGACGTCATCTGGAGGGGCAACCGACCGACCAGCGGGGACATCACGCCACCTCGGATCACTTTTGCTGGAAGCGCGCGCAGCGTTCACTTGTCTTAGATTTAATATTCTGTGTCGATTATTCCTACCCACTTTTGTATTTTTTTTTATTTATTTAAATTATTAAGCCGTTGCTAAAATCAGAAGTGGGATAGGGCTTGTGCCCTATCCGCTTTTGGGTTATCCTGGCGTACAGTTTATTTTTAAAATTTGCATTAAATTAACAACGTCATGACCGATATACGTGTAACTGGAAGCAGGGTAGGAGGACGGTCGCATTCGCCGAATGTTCGAGACCAATATTGGAGAATAATATTGACGCGTTTAATTGCTTAAAACTCAAATGTGAACGTTGCGCGTGAGTCGAGCCCGCTAGGGTCGCAGATAGAAGACGCACGTCCCTCGACCGCGGACGGTGGTGGCGCCGGACCCGTGGTGGCGTTGGGAATCACATCACCGCCGCCGTCAGAGTCCCGCGCGTACGACGCTACAGACAGGATCATCGGAGCATTAAGTGCACTGTCCAAAGTAAGGTCGAACCATTTTTATTTTTCTAATTTTGACCCCAGCGTTAATGATATCGATTCTTGGTGCGAAGTAGATTTTTTTTGTCGGATACCCTCTTATGAAATGTAATAAATCACCAAGTAACTAGCTCAACGACTTTATCACAACCGACCTTACGGTCTATTTTTATTGACGCGATAGAACATGCTCGAGACTG